TATCTAGAGTCTCGAATATCCGCAATGCGCGCTACCACCGCGAGGGCGGGGCTACCGCAGATAATAAAAAACTAATATTTCTAGAGTCTCGAATATCCGCGATGCGCGGTACCAGGGCGGGGGCGGGGCTACCGCGGATAATCAAAAACTAATATATCTAGAGTCTCGATTATCCGCGATATGCGCTACCACCGCGGGGGCGAGGCTACCGCGGATAATCCAAAACTAATATTTCTAGAGTCGCGAATATCCGCGATGCGCGGTACCAGACCAGGGCGGGGGCGGGGCTACCGTGGAATCGCGGATTAATCAAAAACTAATATTTCTAGAGTCTCGAATATCCGCGATGCGCGGTACCAGGGCGGGGGTGGGGCTACCGCGGATAATCAAAAACTAATATATCTAGAGTCTCGATTATCCGCGATGTGCGCTACCACCGCGGGGGCGAGGCTACCGCGGATAATCCAAAACTAATATTTCTAGAGTCGCGAATATCCGCGATGCGCGGTACCAGACCAGGGCGGGGGCGGGGCTACCGTGGAATCGCGGATTAATCAAAAACTAATATTTCTAGAGTCGCGAATATCCGCGATGCGCGGTACCAGGGCGGGGGCGTGGCTACCGTGGATAATCAAAAACTAATATATCTAGAGTCTCGATTATCCGCGATGCGTGGTACCAGGGCGGGGGCGCACAGTGGGAAAAGCAGCCGATCTAGCGCCGAAAAAGTCGGAAAATCGGCATGAATGAAAATGGCCAAAATTGGTATGTACGTGTTCCTGAGGATCTACTGATCAAGAATCAGTCATGTTTTACTTCATAAGGTTGACCTTATCAGCGATTATCAACAGAAACGCACCGATTAGCGCGGTACCGATGGAAGACCGCCTCTGAAAGCTTACATTCAATGGCCTCCTGTGTTTATTAAAAAGCGTCATGTATTTACTCTTAATTTTTTTTGGCAATGGCTGACCTTTCTAAAAGTATGGAAACAATTTTTTTTTTTAATCTACTTTTTTAACTTACAGCAATTTTTTAAAGTTAGCCTCCAAAATAGTACCAAATTCAAACTTCCATGGACTGTATCTTTCGAGATCCACTTGGATCCACGGAGATATTTATATCCAGTTACTCGTCATACACTCAAGAATACGATAATCCTTAGTTTGGGTGCGCATCCTTGCGCCATTAGGAGATATTTGATAGAAAGGAAGTGAAAATGTGCTTAGAATGAATGTGTACCGTTGGGTTTGGCGACAGATTACAGAGTCGCATGGGGAGAAGTGCGTGCACAGTGCTCTGCGCGCGCAACTCGTGCAACCCGTGTTTAAGAGCAACTGTTTCAGCCCATCGCTCGTACTGAAGCCATAGCCTAGTTGGTAGGGTCCCTTGCTGCTTATGCGAGGAAAGTGGGTTCAAATCCTGCCTGAAGATGTACAATTTTCAAATAGTTCCGTGCAACTATTAATGTTTTACTTCACAATTGCTGCCCTTTAAAAATGTTTTCATTTTACATTAAGTCATGAAAAGAAAAATATTAGATGCATTGAGCGAAAGGAATTAATTTCCAAAATTTCCAAGTAATGACAATACTTCATTTTACCTTCATGAAAATAAAGTGTATTGGTAAAACAATAATACGGATTTCTTCTATTCAATTTCCTGTTTGACAACACTTTATGATAAATTAAATGTTTGGAACTTAACTGTTATCCTAACAGGAATTAGAAAAAAATTAGGACACTCTATTATCTATTGATTAGTAAAAGCTGTTCCATTGTGCAACGTTTTATTAGGAAATTTAAAATTTCAAGCGTGTTTTTCCCCCTTATTTTCTCTTAATATTGAGTACATGCCAATTAATATGTCAATCTCATCCATCAACAGCTTTGGTAATACCTTGCGGATTCCATTCATTCTAATCCATAACTTTACCTTGAAACACCCACACATAATCACACAAACTTTTCCAAAATAAAGTGAAAAATCAGAGACTTACATAGTAAAATGAAGAAAGTAACCGACAATAGCATAAACGACGAGAAATATTTTTATTAACTCTGCTGGCCGATCAAAGACCACAAACCGAAACACAGTTTCAAGGGAAGTAAATTACAGCTGATCTCTTGATTAAATTTGGCTCAATAACTCTTGAATTTACAAAAAATTGGTGCATAATGTTGTCACTAGTGTATGGCTCGATATATGAGACCGGTAAAGTGTGAAAAACCAATGGGAAAGTGAACGATCCGAGCGTCAAGACTTTCGGCGCTAGATCGGCTATTTTTCCCACTGTGGGGCGGGGCTACCGCGGATAATCAAAAACTAATATATCTAGAGTCTCCATTATCCGCGATGCGCGCTACCAGGGCGGGGGCAGGGATACTGCAGATAATCAATAACTAATTTATCTGTCCGGAAAAACTCATCAATATGCCTATATTTTGAAAGACTTTATTAAATCACTTGTCTAGTATTATTAGACACAAGTCTAATTATTAGTCACAGAAGGGAGTTTTTCTTAGAGTTGAATAGATTGAACCTGAATTTTCTTTGCACTCCGCCGTCTAAAAAAAAAAAAAAAAAAAAAAAAAAAAAAAACTGCGGATGATTCAAGATAATTGTGACTCTACTGCTTTAATTTATATAAGTCATCAAGAGACCATGTAGCTCCTGGGTACAAGTATAAAGAATCTTTTGAACCGGAAAGTAAATTCAAGGAAATTGGAGAAGGATGAGGCTACGGAAAAGCTTTAGGTGTGTCATTAAGTATAGCAACGCTTTATATTTAAATTATAGTTTACCATGACTTTGTAGGAATTGCAATTTGCTTTTGGTAGCAAAAATGGTGTAAATCCATTGGAGATTAATGCTTTTTGTTTTTTCTTGTATTCCAATTAATTCCCTCCAAATTTCAAAGAAAATTTATCAACATTTTTCAAGCGAACATACAACTTTCTCTTGCAATGCACCTAATTAAAGTATTGCAGTGTTTTAAAATGAAGATTTGTCATGAATGTTACATAAATTATCGTTTTCATGTATTGATAGCTACTTAAAACCAACATTTATACTAAAATGTTTTTTCACAATCTCCGATGAAATGAAATTTCACCCAGAAAACGTTCTTACCTGTTTTGCCCATCGTTCTCTCTGTTTCAGTTTAAGAACCCTTTAATATTACTACTATTAGGATCTGCTTTAGTCAGCGTTTGTATGCGACAATTTGATGATGCCGTCAGTATTACTGTTGCAATAGTAATAGTCGTCACTGTAGCTTTTGTTCAAGAATATCGATCAGAACAATCTCTGTCTGAACTTACTAAATTAGTACCACCGTCCTGCAACTGGTAATATGATTCCTCAATTCAACTATCTATTTGCTGTATCCATAAAATCAAGTGGACTGCGTTTTGCAATGAGGAACATTAATATCTGTCTCATCAGTATAAAAACACTTATGTGCTTAAGGAAACTAAAGGTACTTACGGTATATCTAAACTGAAGCAGAAATTGTATTTTTTAAGTAATTGCAAAATGCAGTCCAACTCTGCTTACTACTGCGAGGCCGATACTGAGTTAGGAACTTAATCTCCTCCTTGTCTTGTGTCCAGCCAACCATAGAATGATCTACTTTTAATGCCTTGTAATATCTTATATTTACTCGAATTTTTGGGTGTTCTGGGAACAAAGGACTCAGATAAACTACAGTTTGCAATTAGGAACCACTATTTTTGGCTCAGCTTTGAAACAACTTATGTATCATTAGTTTCCCTAGGCACATGAGGGTTTTTACAGATAAGCCAGAAATTGTAGTTTCTAATTACAGAATGTAGTTCAAATTCCTAGGCTCATGTAAAGTAATGATGGGTGGATCATCATTTGACTGGTAGTGATAAAACCTCTGCCTTCTTGAGATCGTTTGTTCAATTTAACATGCCCCATTTCAATCCAAATTCAGCTGCATTTTTGAAATTTGTTGAAATTTTAATTGATACCCTGTAGTTCCGGTCCCTTACAAGTTTACTTTCGGGTGAAAATGTTGAAAATTCATGTGTAAAAATGCAGGTTGTCAGATGATCACAAGGATCTTAAGAATGCTGACTGTTCTGAATTGGGTAGGTTATTCCGTTACCGAACAGTTCCAAACAGCTTACTTTAACAATGGAGCTTTTAAACGACACATTTGTCTTTGTCTTTGATATCTTTCCTCTTTTGTTTTCTACATGGCACAGCCTACGGGAAGGCATGGTTGAAACATTCCTAGCACGGCTCCTAGTTCCTGGAGACATTGTACACCTAAATATTGGTGACAGGGTCCCGGCAGATGTCAGATTATTTGAGGTTTGAAATCTTCTATTTTATGAAGCTATATTTTTTTTCCAGACGTGTATTTGGTATTGTTTGACTAAACGTGAACATGGCAACAAAAATCTGTTGAGTAATTGACTGCAGAATTATTTTCCAAGCCTTCAGTATGCACTTGTCGCAAATTGATATGTGAGTGAATAAGCAAATGGTATTATATTTACATGAACTCTACGAACACCTGCTTTTTTGACTTAGGGAAAACCTGACTGAGCTTACATGTGTGATGAATGATAAAATCATCTGAATACTTACCCACGAAAGTTAAATTTTCGCAACTAAGTTATCCCTGGAGGAAATATTTTTTAGTTTAAAATACATTTTTTTGTTGGCCTGCTAAAAATTTAAAATTGCTTGGCAGTTTTTGCAATTTTTTTGTTTGTAAAAAACATTTGAAAATTTGCCCTGATTATTTCAAATTTATTTCTTTAACAATGCAGGCATACTCGTTGCAGGATGTGTCCCGATATGGAATTGATGCGTGTAGAATATTTTCGTTTATTTTTATGCAAAATTTGTAGCTTGAGCAAAGTAGGATTTCACTGGAATGAAGTTTTTTTTTCAGGCAGTTTCAGGCACAATGCCCCATGGAATGACTCATCTAAATATATCAAAAGGATAATTTTTAGTGACAGACCTGAAATCTGAAGTTTAAGTGAAAGTTGCATCCACTCACCTAGTACCTAATTGAATCATCCCTGAGTAATTGAATCATTCCTGATTAATTAAATCCTCCCAAATCTGGTTTAGTCTCGACACCTTTCTCCTAATTGCAACTATATCAAGAGAATATCAAGCAGTCTGATTCAAATGAAACATACCTCATTGTTGCTATCTGATCCACTCTCCTATACGGATTAATTTAATTGACAATAGCCTCATTCAATATTGTCGAAATTGAAAATCCATTATTTAGTACTCTCTGAGACGTATTGGATATACTTTTACTCACAGAATTATCCTCACTAAAATTTCGTACCACAAGTGAGGTAGGTACCTGGCTTCTAAAATTGTTCATAACTTTCCTCCCTTTCAGCAAATCTCTTTTGAGCATGAATGTCAAAAATGAAAACATGATATTGAATAATCAGAAGTATGAGCAACAGTGGCGTAACGGGCGGGCCCACAGGGCCCGCGACTCGGGGGGGCCTCGGCTCAAGGGGGCCTCCAAGTACATCGAACATGGCACATAGCACATGAATTTTTAGGGGGGAAAAAATCTTTGAGCGATTCGCAAGGCGAACAGAGATAAATATTTTCTAAGGAAGACCTGTCAAGTTGAAAATCGAAGAAAGTCTTCTCGGGTTTAAGGAAGTCACGGATCAAACCGTCCTGGGACTAGAGACCGCAATTATTCAAAGCATCGAACAAAAAGGTTTATCCCTTTCTAGGTATCGCGGGCAGGGATATGATGGGGCTGCGAATATGTCCGGTATTTATTAAGGTGTGAAGACTCGGATTGAACAGAAGCAAAGTTTCGCAAAATATGTGCATTGTTCCGACCACAACTTAAATCTAATTTTGAATGATGCCTCTTCACAAGTACAAGAGAATACAGTTTTTTGGGCTACCGTTGAAGAAGTTTACGTATTTTTCAGCCAAAGCATCCTTAGATGGCAGCTTCTAAAAGCATATTTTCTTAAACTGAAAAAACTTTGCCCTACTCGGTGGTCGTCAAGATCTGAAGCTCTGCAAGCCCTGCGATACAATTATCCTGATGTCATGAAAGCGCTTTCAAAAATTTGTCTCACACCCACGAAATCCGACGAGATAACTAAAGCGCAAAACCTACTAAAAAGGTTAGAAAAGTTTGAGTTCGTTTTTCTCTTGGTTCTCCATACATTCATTCTCGAATCGGTGAATCCAGTCTCAAAACAATTACAATCCAAAGACGCTGACCTTTTTAAAGCTCACGAATGGCTGAAAAATGCATCTGACAAACTATCTCACTTCAGGAACCATTTTAATGATGCGTACATTGTTGCAGTATCAGTTGCTCAGGAATGGGGTGTTACCTGCGAATTCCAGAACAAGAGACACCGGAAGGTCACAAAACATTTTGGTGAAATAGCTGAAGATGAGCGTTTGTCAGATCCGCTGAAGTACTTTGAAACAGCTGTATTTTATGGAACTTTAGACATAGTTTTAAGCCAACTTAAAACAAGATTTGAAGGGTTGAATAATATCATAAAATTGTTCGAACTTTTAAACCCCAAATTTCTCGCAACGGCCACTGATAAGGAGCTAACGGATAGAGCAAAGAAATTGGTATCAGAATATCCCGAGGACATTGAACTAACGTTCCCATCTGAGCTACAAAGTTTCAGGATTGCATTAAAAGACGACATAAAGGCTTGCTCAACAATAAAGGACCTGGCAAATTTTTTATTCATTGAAAATTATTCTCTCGCGTGTAGTGTTCCGGACGTTTGCACTTCATTTCTACTATTTTTAACTTTGCCTGTAACTGTTGCAACTGCCGAACGTTCTTTTTCCAAACTTACTTTGATAAAAAATTATCTTCGAAGTACTATGTCCCAGGAAAGATTAGTTGGTTTGAGTGTTTTGAGCATCGAGTCCGACATAGCTCGAAGTATTGATGTCAAAGAAGTGGTGAAAGTTTTTGTAGCAAAGAATGCCCGAAGACAACAATATATCAACAAGTAATCTTAGGAATTAATGTGAGTTTGTCTAAATTTTCTAGACAATAAAAAACGTAATTTAAAAGATAAATACCTCAATTTTCAAAACCTCCACCTTCCTAGTCCTAATTTCCTCAATCCCTTAATCCTTAATCGAAACTGCACGCACATTTAATTTAGCTGATACAACATCGGAGAGGAAGTGGGAGGAGTGGAAGAAGGGGGGCACTTAATTGCAATATTGATACGATAACGCATAATGTAAATATGGAAGCAAATTGTGATTTTCTATTTTGGGGGGGGGGGGATTTCCAAAATAAATTCTGCGGGGGGGGGCCCCCGATGAGATCGTTACGCCACTGATGAGCAATGTCCTTTTAACATTGGATTTGTTTCTGTTTATACATGCAAATTACGTTTAATGGGAGATATAGTGCATCAGAATATTTCTTAAGCTTCTTCCCAAATGAGGTAATTGTTTGCTTCATCACAGTATCCTATGTCTTCTTTCAGGCCATAGATCTATCAATTGATGAAAGCAGTTTCACTGGTGAAACAGAGCCTGCTGCAAAATCAATGGAACCAATGCTAAAAGTCAATGGTCACACCAACATGAAAAATATCGCTTTCATGGGAACATTAGTAAGGTGTGGAAATGGCAAGGTATGTTTTGCATAAAAATCTTATTATAAATAACACCATTCAATATGCCTGTTCGTGAGGAAATTTCACGGTTAATGCTGACTTTTAGAACACTCATGTCAGTCAAAAAATTAAATGTTCTGGTAATTTATGAAACTTATAACCAGTTTTAACGATACCCGGTCATTTAGTGCATTAACGCATGTTCACCTTTCATCATGTCCAATGGACCTCATCTTTGGCAAAGTGCAGTCTCTTTTTTCAGCGCTCACAATTAGTGATTTAAACCATAGAGGAAAAAAGGAGGTTTTTGCATCTTGAGGATTGTTTACCCCATGATTTAGGTCGGTACAGGTACTCTAGCAAAATCTGGAATTCAAAGTATGAAAAATAGATCATAACGTCCGATTATTTTGCTTAAATCAACTCATGATATATTTTCAAACCTTTATCCAAAATGCCTTTTTTCCATAAACTACACCATTTTCAAGAAAATAGATGATAAAAATCTCCGTGCGGACCTACGTCATCAAAAAAATCCAAGATGCCCGAAATGCAAACACTTTTTTTTTCTTTATGGATTTAAACTGTTTTGATATTGACAGCAAGCAAAACTTTGCATCTTCTAGCGAGTCCATTATCTAGGTAGCACTACTGGAACAAAAAAGTATTTATTTTGTTTTTAATGTCATAAGTGCAAATAAACCACAAAACAATAGTAAAATTTCAAGCTGAAACTCTCCAATCATCCAGCTCCATGCCTTCTAAGAAATAAAGCCTTCTACTAGAAATCTGTATTTTTATTTGCACCATCAGCTCATATATCATAGTATTCATTTTCTGAACGAAAATTTTGCTGAAATAGTTTTTGATCGGCAAATAATCTGTTTAAATTTTGATGAAATTTTATCATGATTTTCCATAAAGTCACTACAAAGCGAACCGAAAAATTTTCATTCCGTAAATGGCCGACTCATTAGTTATCAAGATCAATAAAATTTTAAACTCACTTGTACGGAAAAATATTAAATATTTAATATTTTTACGAGCAAGTGAGTTTAAAATTTTTATTGATCATATTTCTTGTGCTGGTCTCCAAACGAATCTTGAGTTATCAGGAGCTCAAAACCCAGAATCAAGATATCTAATTTTTAAAAGAGAGTGTTCATTCTCAATTTTTTCTCTAAAATAGAATCACGTATTCCTCTTCAACTAATAACTGCAATTCCGTCAACAATAGTGTGAATTTACCCTTTTTTTATTTTTTCAACTAGTCTTTTTTAGGAAAATCTTCAATTCCTCTGCTTCAAGAGAAAGAACTTGTTGGTAAATGACTTTCTCTTTTACTTGTGTCACAGGGTATTGTTGTCAACACAGGTGAGAAATCTGAATTTGGTGAAATATTCCGTATGATGCAAGCCGAAGATGCACCAAAAACACCCCTCCAAAAAAGCATGGACATTCTGGGGGCTCAACTATCACTCTATTCCTTTGGTATCATTGGAATCATTATGTTGCTTGGCTGGTTTCAACAACGACCTATCTTAGACATGTTGACAATCGGAGTCAGGTAAGCAAGCGGCTAGTTTCCTGAACTTTACAGGCCTACACCTGGGGAATGGGGATCAATAAAAGTCCTGCTTCCAAAGGAGTGCACCTTACAGCTCAGAAATTTTGACTTGACTGTCAGACTGCCAAATTATATATTTTTACAAGTGGACTGCAAAGAACCCTGCACAGACTTCATGGGATATGGCTCCCTCTAGAATCTGTTGAAACTTGGATATGCTGCTCAGCTAGTTATTCTGATCAAAAGTTCTATGGGCGGAAAAAGATCCCATGAGCGGTTTTCGAGATATTTGCCGTTTTATGTTCATAAATTGAGGTTTTGCTGGCCGGACTGTTGTGCGGTGCTTCTTGTGCCCTTCCCTTCCAGTCCGCTCCGGCCACTCTCCGCTTCCCCACCTCCCATACGCGAGGCTCGAACTCCGACGCTCACTGTGATAAAGACCACCCGGCTCGGTGACAATGAGTGAAGCCTCGTGAGCGTCGGAGTCCGAGCCTTGGGTATGGGAGGCGGGGAAGCGGAGAGCTGCCAGAGCAGACTGGAAGGGAAGGGCACAAGAAGCACTGCACAATGGTCCAGCCAGCGAAACCTCAATTTACGCACATGAAACGGCGAATATCGCGAAAATCGCTCGTGGAATTTTTTTCGGCCCATTAGAACTTTTGATCAGAATGACTAGCTGAGCAACATATCCAAGTTTCAACAGATTCTAGAGAGAGCCATTTCCCATAAGGTCTGTGGGGGGTTCTCTGGCAATAGTGAAAAAAAAAATAGTTAAGAACTTTTCTCCCTAAGAGTAGTGTTTTTTCCCTTCAATTACAATTGGACAGCTCCCTTAAGGAAGGACCTGAGGAATAGAGGATAAAAAGAGTCATGTTTTCAAAGTGACACATTCAATGGGCTGGAAATTTTTACTTGGTAATCAAACTGGTAAATTACATATCTGCAGGGGAGCAAGTCTTTTGCAGTTTTTCTATGCTGAGCAAAGTGGAAATTAAGTCTTAAGTGGGAAACACTCCTGCTGTATTCCAAAAGATAAAATGCTAATGGTTAGTGCATTATTGCGCCGACAGAGAGTGTCAAGTTGCAGTATAAACTGAAGATTATGCGCCCCAGCATTGTAGATCAATATAATATTGTAACAGTTTTTTCTCAGAATTACTCGTATTTTCTAAACTTCAAATTATCACAACCCTAGATCGGTTTGATATTTTTCTGTGTCCTTTTGTGCTCGGCTAGGATTTGAAACTCTCCTTCATGCAGCAGCACTAACATCTCTATGTCAAGCTTTCTGGCACTAAGATGTTTTTTCTGGGGAAGCTAAAGTGAAGAAAAAAAGAAGAATTTTACCATTTCTTTTGTGTCTAGTTTGGCAGTGGCTGCTATCCCTGAAGGCCTACCAATTGTTGTCACAGTAACTCTGGCCCTAGGAGTTCTAAGGATGGCCAAACAGAAGGCTATTGTAAAAAAATTGCCTACAGTGGAAACCCTAGGTTGCGTAAATGTCATCTGCTCTGATAAAACAGGCACCATCACTAAGAATGAAATGACCGTAACGACCATTCGTACCTCTGATGGATATTGTGCCGAGGTAATGATTAGTATCTTATTCTGTTTTACCTCCTTGCTTGATACTACCACCTCAGTTTACCAACTTTGTAGTACATATTTCTCATCATTTTTTTTTAAATTAGGTATTTTTTTAAAAATGCAGTTTGTTTTAAAAATTTCAATTTTCAATCTTGTTAGGAAAGTAGCCACAAATTGTGAAGAAAATCTGAAAAATTGTAAGGACTTTGAAATTGACTACCAAGGCAGCCACTTAAAAAGCTCAAACAGCCTGATTTTTGTTTGACATGTTAGAAACTCATGCATATCATATGCGGTGAAAATACCTGCATCCCACGCGCACGCCAATTTTCGGCTATGGAAAATTGTAAAATTGGTTTTAAAGAGGCTCGAATGGTACTAGTAACCACAATAAGCTTTGCACTGCATCAAACAGAGGATCCAAATTTAATCATATCCTCTTACTTTTTTTGAGATGGCACTTTCCCCTCTTCATTTTTTTGTTGTTTTTAGGTCACTGGAACGGGTTACAATGATGATGGTGAAATCATAATTTTCAAATGCGATGACATAAACCTTGCCAATGCGTCCATCTTTAGGTTGTTGGAAGCAGGTGTCGTTTGCAATAACGCTATCATCAGAGATGAAAATCTGTACGGTCAACCAACAGAAGGTGCTCTTGTAGCTGTGGCCATGAAGGTTTGTTTAACAATTCGAAATCCTATCGCCATTTGTGTTTGTGTGAAGGGGAAAAATCTCAGAAGCTTTAAAAGGTCTTAGAAAATATGTAATTGGAATCTAATTGGATAGAATCGAAACCACTCTTGATAGAGAATCCCACCACATCATCATTTCTCTATCAGTGTATTTTCTTTTAAATCTCAAAAATAAGATCATGAAACCTGCAAAAACATCATAATAGTTTTTGCTTGCCATGTAAATGCAGTAAGGCTCAATTACATGTTGACTTGCATGGACGCAGGGTAAATTTATTTCTAGTACATTTATTTGGAAATTCAGGTTGGCATATGATGTATTCATTCAATTTCTACCGATAAGTTTAGTTGAGTCAAGCAGCACCATTATACTTTAAATTTTTTACTGTGTTATGTTACAGAACAAAATGTATGGAGTCGCAGATAAATACATCCGCCTAAAGGAGTATCCATTTTCATCAGAGCACAAAATCATGGCTGTGAAATGTGCTATTAAAGGAGGATCAGTCAATGATGAAGTTTTCTTTGTGAAAGGTGCCATAGAAAAAGTGCTCAAGCAATGTACCAAGTTCAAAACCAACAGATCTGTTCTTCCTTTAGATCTGAAAAAAGAGCAAGAATTCCTTGCTCAAGCCTATGATCTGGGTCGCCAAGGCTTAAGAGGTTAGTCCTGTGAACCTGACTCTAAGAAATTAGTACTCTAAGTTTCTTAAAAATATCTGGTGCTGCAATCAAAGTTGGGTACTTTTCTGTTTCCTAGTTACAAGCACTTAGGAGCCATTCAGAATCAGGGACTGGTAGCTGCTACCTGGCCGCAAGTATCTAGCCCAGATGTGGGATCTCAGCTACTAAGCTATGCTCAAGGCTCCTGGATCTTGGGGCATGCGCATAGTATGCTAGTAGGTCGAACTCAGCATACCATTTTCAGCATACGAATCCAGAGATACTCAGGTAGCCGGCTAGATGGAGACCCAACAGACTCCGCATCCGCATAGTAGCTGAATCCTGTAGCAGCCCTCGAGAGCAGATTCGTCGAAATTCAGCCCGACGTTCACCCTGGCAATCCCGTGCGACCAACAATAGAGACAATGCCCTAAATGTGAGCACTCCAATGGAAGTTCTACAAACTGTGGCGGCCAATCTTGGTGCACTTAGTAGCCGATACATGGTGGATACCAGCATGTCAGCATATCAATGTAGCTGTCCACCCTTGTATGCTGGGATCCTTTGCAGCGAGGGATGCCAGCAAACCTGGAGATCCTGCTACCAACGTACACTTGCAGATTCGGCTACCTGAGCACACGGCATCCCTATGTATACCGCATCTCGACGTATGCCAGGGGTCAACCGCCATCATCAGTCTGTGCTCAGAATACACTTAATGCTCCAGGGGAGACAAGCTTTGCACCATTTTGTAGCCAATAATTAGAATTACCATCCAATATTTACCATATCAACGAAAATAAAAACGTATAATTACTTTTCAATTTATTTATGAGGGAGTCACATTGATGTTACTTGTTTATTTTTAACTTACTATTTTTTTCTAATGTTACAGTCGTTGGGATGGCAAGTGGAAGCTCACTTCAAGATTTAGTATTCTTAGGTTTAGTTGGTATTTGTGATCCTCCGCGGCCAAAAGTTCGGGAAGCAATTCTGACTTTGCAGCAGTCTGGCGTAAAAATTAAGTTGGTCACAGGAGACGCTCAAGAGACTGCTACCTCTGTTGGTAAGATTTTTACCATAATCAAAATACGTTCTTCATTTTCCACACTTAGAGTAAGGAGTATTTTTACTCTTATCACTGTATTTGTAGTTCCTTTACTGGTTCATTTTATCATTAAGAATAACGGTACATGATCATAATTTTGAATTTATCCCACAAGTGTATATGATTATTTCAATGATATTTACTTTGAAAAATAATGTTAGTCTGTTCAAAAAGTGAAGGATCACCTCCTATTATTCCTATATATATTCATAGTTGCTTTCTAAAATTGTTCTACATTCTTTACACCTTTTAAAAAGAAAAGGAAATAAGGAGTTAGTTATGATGTTGAAAATGATTTAACTGAAGACGCATGCTTCAAGTTTGTCTCTTAATTGAATCAGTAATGGGAAGTTCTGTCCAGGCTTTAACTTTGAGTCAATATATTTTTTCTGTTCCTCATCAATTAGCTTTTACAATTTTTTTGCAGCTGCTATGGTTGGCTTAGACACGGTCCATGGACAAACCCTATCTGGTGATCATATCGATAATATGACTGACCAGCAATTAGAACAAATGGTCAATAGCGTAGTGGTCTTTTATCGAGTCACTCCTAAACATAAGTTACGCATTGTGAAGGTAAGTTGAACTTGCTCTTCTCTTTTTAAAAAAACTAGCCTCTTTCTCGATAGGAATTTTCAAAAAAACTTGTCGGTAAGCTATCAGCACTGCTTATTCGGAGACACTAATACACTTGTTGGAGCAAAAATGAATAACTTTCATCACTAGGAATCATAGCTTCTGTAAATACAATTAATACTCATGCAATGCTGTTGAAATAGTAACATTCACTCGTAAAATTGAGCTCTATCAACATGCAAGACACCAAATGTTTGTAACTCCCGATACTCATTTTATTATTGAAATTTTACAACTATGTTTTGAGGGTGATGGATTAAAGAGGATCTAATCTTCGTTTTCAGGCATTCCAAGCTAACGATATGATTGTAGGAATGACTGGCGATGGTGTCAATGACGGTGTTGCGTTGAAGAAAGCAGACATAGGTATTGCAATGGGTAAGAATGGAACAGATGTCTGCAAAGAGGCAGCTGACATGATTTTAGTCGACGATGACTTTAACACTATCATGTAAGTTTGACTTTTTTCAATAAGAAATTAACCATTCGATAATTTTAATTGCTCTCGTGTAATTTTCAAGGTTTTTGTAAGAAGTCAACCTACTACAAAGTCAAATCACAATCTTAACACAAGAAACTTTGCCCCTGACTGATTCCCTCTCTATCCCTCTGATTTTCCCTTTCTATTGCTCTCTCTATAAAGAACCACCTATTATTTTTGAGGTTTGTTTGTAATTTTGTAGCAGTTTCTCTCAAAGACATAAAGATGTAGTGCTCGTATCTAAAAGCACAGGAAAAAGTGAATCCTGGTTTGGCGCTGGGTGCTTGTGTGAGTGTATAAATGAGCACGGGAATTCATGGCGGCAAAGGGAAATTTGATTTGAACTTGTCCTCTTGATTATTCCCCATTTCTTCTTCTAAACGTATTTTAAATGCCTAAAACGAATATATTAAGAAAGTTGGGACTGCAACTTTTTATAATACACTTACTTTTTCTTGGTAATAGGCAGTAATCTCAGATAAAGTTAGTTTCTCTTCTACTCATGGTGGTCCTGCCGGTTCAACCAGGCTGTTACAGTCCTAGATGACCGTTACTTCCAAATGAAATTAATCGGTCGATGATGGACCAAAACTAACCTAAAGTTAAAAAAATATGAGTGGGTAAGTGAATTTGGGCAAAAATCAACCTAGAATACTTTGTTTTCGCAATTTTATTTAGTTCCCACCCTACATTTGAATTTCAAACTTGTCCCGATTTCGCCGCCAATCCTCTAGCCAATAGTAGAAGTGGTTGAAAAGAAGCTTCATTTTTTGCTTTTAGTGCTCTGTCTTTATGTCTCTTGTTTTCTCTGTGAAAAACCGGCCTCCTTTCCTGTTACAGCGCTGCCATAGAGGAAGGTAAAGGAATTTTTCACAACATTCGCAATTTTGTTCGTTTCCAACTGAGCACAAGTATTGCTGCTTTATCTCTAATTGCATTGTCCACACTCTTAGGCATTCAGAATCCATTAAATGCCATGCAAATTTTATGGATCAATATAATTATGGATGGACCGCCTGCTCAGAGGTAATATTTTTTTCCAGCTACTTCTGAATTTCATGCTTGAAAGAAGCAGCTAAAGATTTTTTAATGACATTACTTGATATACAGGTCATGTATCAACCTATGCTTCTTAGTATTTGCATTTCAATATTTTTAAAGTTCACGCCAAACAAATTTACCAGTTCTAGACTGCAACAAAACATCCACCATCTTGATTCTTGCGTTAACTTTCAATGCTAAACTGATGTCAGACAATCTATCGCAGTTTAAAAATGCATTAACTTATTTGGCCTGGAGTCTAGCTAAAGATGGAAACTACAATACTATACATTATTACAGCAATTAATTATACTACATTTTGCAATTGAATCAGCTCGTTCGAAAACTGCTGACTTTTCTCTAATTTTGAGAGAACTGCAAAAAACTGTAGAAGCCTTTTAAATGCAGGATTAAAAAATGTTGATTAGTTAATTATTACAGGAGCAGATTGTAGAAAAGGATCCTTAACAGTATCCAGCTCCCTTTCTGTTTGGATTAATTAAAAAGACAGGACTCTGGACAATAGCAGTTTTTGCATGATTCGTGAAAATCTCTGAGCTTTGGAGCCGTTTAATATTTTCAAAATTCATTCTAAAGATATTAAAGGGGTAGATTATCATCCAAATAAAGTTGAAAAAATAAAATTCTTGACAATTGCGGCACTTAAAGCAAGTTTCATCATGAAACCACCAGCAATAAACTGGACATTAGTGGTTTTTGCATTATTTGTGCGGGGTCGGTTCTATATCACCAAAAACTCTTATTTTTAGGTACGGAATATATTGAAAAATTAACAAAAAATGTATCTTTAGAGTGACAAACAATAAAATAAACAAAGCAATTAAAAGAACCTCTTTAAGCATCTCCGAATACTCCTAAAACACGCTGCTGCGCCATATTTCTCCTCACTGAAGGAATCATTACTTGCCTCAGTGACCAGAGAATTCGCAAGGTCGTCATAAAATTTCAAAAAGTCTTCGGGTATGTACGAAACTATAGAATCAACGTCGCGCATTTTTAGACCCTTTATCGCAACTTTCCTCAAAGGATAAGCTGGATGAAGGGCCTCAAAATTCGGTTGGGGATTTCTAGCTTTATGAAGCAAATAAGTCTGGCAACTTGCAGAATCTATGATGACATTGCGCGTGACAATACATCCTTGCATGTTGCCAAAATTTATTTGCTTCATTTCGCTTACTTTAAGCCTAATTTTAGCGTCTTTAGAGCGGAGCCTATGCGATGTTGCTGCCATTGTGTCACACTTAATTTTTCAATGGAAAATTATTCTACGTCACTTATCGAATTTTTTCTGGATTTCCTCCACTTCATGAAAAATATTCAGTAAAAATTTAAAGCATAATAAGATCGGCTCTTTCTCATTCCAAAAAATAATATAAAAGCCAACATTTTGAAACACTGCAGTTGAGGTACGATGTTTTCTAGTTTTATCATCGCCCTCGATTTTGCCAGAAAAGTTCATTTTTCTTGGAGAATGAGTTTTTTTGCGACAGTTTTCCCAGGAAATAGGATTTTCCGTGGTAATGGTGAGTGATAACGAATTTCTGAGATCATATCCTGGTTTATTACCTCAAATTACATGAAAATCGATGTATCCAAATCGGGAAAATTTTATGAACTTCCCTGGAAGTGGGAACAGTTTGGAAAAGTTTTTGGCCCGGAAAAATCGGACCATCTAGTAAACGGGGGCTTGTCAAAGATGAGTGAAGATCCAATTCGAGATCAGTGTCTCCTACAGCAAGAGAGACCAAAAGAGTGTCTCAAACATTTTCTAAGACTCCTTAGAATAGGAAAATCATCAAAAAATACCGATAAAGAGCGTTTTCTGAAGAAAAGCAACTCCTCCGGGAAAAGGATGGGTGCTAGGAAAAATGTGAGATCATATTTGAATTCAACAGTTTAAAATACAAAGGAACTGATGTATCAAAGACATTTTTAAAATGTATTTTTAATACACTTTGAGTCTAGGAAAGCTTTTACACAATTTTAGGCTTGGAAAAATTGGCTTTACTGGAAAACTGGAGAATGATAGGAAGAAACCGAGGTCATATTCGGATTCAGCAGCTCAAAATACATATGTATTACACTTTCACGGGTCCAGGCAAATTTATAAAAATAAATTGTATTCACGACAAATATACGTCAAGTTTCCTCATTTCCCTGGGGAAAAGTCGCTTTTATAGAAAACTGAGAGGTAAACGGGAAAAATAAAGGCCATTTTTGGCCTCACTGGCACAAAATACATCCGAATAATTGTATCTAGTAGCTGAGAAAAATTTTACCTTCATACCATGGGGAGTAACAGTTGGAAAAGTACCTAATAAAATGTCCAAAATAAATGGCCATTTTTCCGAGTAAAATCGGCTTTTTCGGAAAGTTGGAGGGTGATGGATAAAAACGGATATCTAATTTGGATTCAGCGCCTCAAAATGCATACAGATCACCTTGTGTCGTCCAGGACACATTTTTCATTTTGGTTTGTTGTTCAGTATGAGGCATATAACGAAAGATGGACTAAGGCGGTTTTTGCATGATTTTGACCCTACGCCCCCCCCCCCCCCAAAAAGGAGGTTCAAACCTAAAGAACAAACATCACATTAATATGTGTGTCTGACCTCCGAAAGTATTTTAACACAAAAATCTCAAAATTGAAAAAAAAATGGACATTAGCGGTTTTTGCAAGAGCCGATTCAATTGGGAACTATAATTTCCAGCTCAGTATAAAATCAATGTATGTACCATTGATTCTCATATGTACGCAAGTGTTTTTACAAACGAGCCAAAAATAGAAAAAAATAGTACTTCCAAATTGCAAAATGAAGTCCAATTGTCATCATTTGTCATATTTTTTAAGAGTACCTGTCAGTGTTGGGTATGAAAACTCTGATCTGGAACAATTTTTATTTTTTCTCCATTCTAAAATCTGTAAATGTCAGAGGATGATTTTATCATTCATGTAATCAAACTAATTTATTCTTTTCCTCACTTTTATAATTGCTACTTTCATATTTTCAGTTTGGGAGTGGAACCTGTAGACAAAGACATAGTGAAGCAGCGACCACGAAGCACCAAAGAGCAAATGATAACGAGGAACTTGATAATAAATGTTCTAATGTCAGCATCGATCATTATCTTGGGAACACTTTGGGTCTACAAAAGAGAAATGAGCGACAACATAGTTTCAAAACATGATACGACCATGACATTCACATGCTTCGTTTTCTTTGACATGTTCAACGCTCTGAGTTGTCGATCTCAAACTAAATCCATCTTTACAATTGGTCTATTCACAAATCGTGCTTTTCTTCTAGCGGTGTCGCTGTCGGTTATCGGACAACTCTTGGTCATCTACTTCCCTCCTCTTCAGATGATTTTCCAGACTGAATCACTGTCTTTATTAGGTAATTATCTGACTGATTTTCATCTTGTCTGAAATGTAGAAGACTTACCACGGTACGAAAATTTGACATTTTTGAAAAATTTTTAGTCAAACATTTACAAAATAATGGAAATTAAAAAATCCTTTTTGTGTGAGCCTCCGCTTAGAAAAAAAGAAAGAAAGGGAAAAAAAATAAGGAAGAAAGTCTTTTGAGTTTAATAATTTAAATCCACCGAAAAACTCCAGGCATCATTACGTAAGTAAGCGAAAGTAAAATTATTTAACTTTTGTTGTGCACAAAAATAGACAGTAAATTTCACAGTACAGTATAGTTACTAAACAATAGGAGACAGCCCCCTCCTCCAAGAAAAAAACTCGCACATGAAGAATTAAGATTTGTTGACGAATTGCGCAGTCATTTTAAATTCGCAAAAATTTGAAAAATCCCAAAATGCAAAAATCGATCAAATAAAAAACCTGTTTGACTAAGAGAAAGAATTCTTATCAAACAGGAATCATTGTGTTCATGACCTAAAAATAGCAAAAATTCGAAGAATAATCACTGATTGTTGATAGATTACAGAACAATCCACAAGAAGTTATTTCTTGAATTGCCATCAATAGAATTGCTGTCAGTCGATCGATTCATTATTGATTATATTGCTGTCCAACAAGTCTCCGTGGATCAAACTTAATATATAAAACTTCTATTGATTAAACCATTGTCATGTGTATATTTTCTAATCAATGCAATACTGATCTCCTAATTTATTGTCAATTAAATTGCAGATCTCGGTTCATGTTTTCTCTTTTGATGGATTCACTTAGATTGATTCAAAAGTGATTTCTCAATTAATTTCTCATCAAATCGTAGTCAATCAGTTCTAGTTTTCACTTTTCAATCAATTTACTTCGTTATACTCAGCAATGTTCTTTTAAGTAATTTTTGATGGAATTGGTGTTCCTTGATTTGCTTCCAATCAATTCATAGGTAGGTAATCCTTCATAGTCTATGATATCATTGCAATTGGAAATGGAGCTCACTTTAAGAGGACTTTTTCATAAAATATGAAATAATCTCCTATAGTCTGTTTCACAAAAACTGAGACTTTTCATTTAGCATTAAAATCCGTAATTGGCAACGCATCAGTCTTGGACTCGTGTGACCGTACTGCTCGCCGGACATCCTCTTTTGTTCAGCGACCATAGGCCGGCAACCCATCCATTGGAAGGGTAGGAACAATAGGCACCCTTCACCCCTCCTTAATGGGCCCTAGTACCTGGACCAAAATTTTGATCTCGCTGAAAAATTCATCTTTTGGCGTGAAAATTTAGTTCCAGCATGAAACTATGATAAAAACGCACTAAAATTCAGTCCACTCATCTTAATTTTGAGCTGATACACGGCATTTCGCGGCGAATCGCGGTCATACGCAAATGCCGTGTATCAGCTCAAAATTAAGATAAGTGGACTGAATTTTAGTGCATTTTTATCATAGTTTCTAAATTTTCACGCCAAAAGATGAATTTTTCAGGGAGAAAAAATGTTGGTCCGGGTACTAGGGCCCATTAAGGAGGGGTGAAGGGTGCCTATTCTTCCTACCCTTACAATGGATGGGTTACCGGCTTATGGTCGCCGAACAAAAGAGGATGTCCGGCGAGCGGTACGGTCACCCGAGTTCAAGACTGATGCGTTGCCATTTACGGATTTTAATGCCGATTAAAAAGTCTCAGTTTTCGTGAAACAGACTACAGGGGTATATTATATAGACAAAGTATTATGGTTTGTTTTAATTAATGGGTATTGATTTCAAAATTTTTCAGACATAATTTTCTTAGTAGTGCTCACTTCTACCGTTTTCATCATATCTGAGGTGAAAAAGCTGATCGAGTATCATTTCCAACTCAAATGCAACAGCCCAACCATACGTAAACACTTAGATTTTGTATGACATGAAGAAATGGATGAACCAAGTACATCGCAATCGACCAAAGACAAACAGATATAGCCAATCCACATCAGTCTTATTTAAAATAGGAGACAGCAAGACTTCACTGATTCACCCAAAACATTCGGAAGTTTCGCCACTTGTCATTTCTGAGTCTTCAAATGACCAGCAGGGAGAAGACGTTTCTTAGTTATATTCATCCTAAACTTTACTCGTAAGTTTTTTTTCTTCCATCATGACTTTCTGAGCCGAGATCCGTTCGATGAGAACAAATTGAATGGACTTTCTTTGGTTTTGATTACCCTTTGAAAGCCTCCCCCTAATCAGTCCTTGTATAGTGTACTAATCACACTTGCAAGGTAAAATGCGTTTAACGTTCTTATCAACCATATTTGGATGTGATTGATGTAAAAATTACAAAAAATGACAGGGTAGGTACTCAACTCTGAACGCCATTCTACTCAGTAATTCAACTCATCGAGGCGTGATAGCCTTTTATTTAATGAAAATTTGAAGAAATCATTTATGATGGTGTTGTATGATATGTACCATCTTTTTTCAAGCAAGCACTGAATGTTGACAAAAAGGGAATGTTGACCTGTTGAAAGTCTCATTCATTCTGCAGTGCAAATTCACCGACTTAACAACATATGTGTGACTTATTTTTGTTGTTGATTGAGCTCATCTCTAACCATCCTATTTTTTTTTATTATTATTATTATTATTAAGTTTCGTATTCATTGATAAGCTGAAAATGCTTCGGTCCTTAGTCAAAGGTGTGGTAAAATCGATTTTCAAACAGGGAAAGTTGCTGAAGACTTTCAAGAAAAAATCAATCGACACATGGTGATCTTATGAAGAAAATAATGAAGTGTATTCCATTTTGGGGGCCAAACTTCTTTGATGAATATGGAAAATTTCAAATTTGTTTATGGCTCATTCTAAATGCGCCGTTTAAGTTGGTAAGACTGTTTTTGAGACTCTGATATACGCTGAGGTTTGTGTTGACTGTCTAGTTCCTATATTTTCGACCGGCATTGTTGTAATATTAAATCCTCCTTAACAAGCAAAAATTATAGGATTAAAATATGTATATTACTTCTTTCTTATTAGGTCCGTGAATAATTTTAAAAAAATTACAGGAATGTTTAATTTTTACTTTTGTTTTAGCTCACCCTTAATTGGAATTTTTCATCCTTAATGTTTTGAACTCGACAATTGCAAATTTTTATGACAATTATTTATTTTCCAGCCACCTTATTTAAGTAGCTCATGGTTGTCTAAGGCCTAATTAATGGTTGTCTTTTTTAACAACAATGTATTTTATTCCTTTCAGTCGCCGATTCAAGTTTTTGTAATTTTAGAAAGCCTGTGTCCCCTATCCCCTTCCTATTTGGTTAAGATGATAGGAATAGGTGGATAACATGATAATTAGAGGACTTTATTTTGTAATTAATATCTATTTGTCGTAGCCAATTAGGTTTTAATCGTTTTGACATTAAAATAATGCAATGGTTCTGTTCAATAAGTTTCAAGAAGGAAAAATGAGGCAGAAAAAATTTAATGCATTGCTAGAACTTTCTGAACTCAGTCGTTAGATTCAGACTATCTAATCTTCAGATTAGACCTATGCAATTATAGATTTTTCAATTCAATGACCATAAACGAAATTAATCGGGATCACAATTACCGTTCGATTAATCGCATGCAGGGTGTCTACTGATACGTAAATATACGTAAAATGTACATAAATTAACGGGTCGCTATGTAAAGTGCGTAAAAAATACGTATTTTTTCAGAAAGTACGTAATTTGTGTTTGGTGCGCATAAGTCTGCGTGCGGCGGACGGAGCGTGCTTGTTTGAATTGCGTAGATTTAGTTCCGCTTCACGCCGCCAGAGTGCGTTGCATGATACAGTGAGTGACGAGCTATGATTGGTCTGCGACGATGCATGGTGTGCCGCATTGGGCGGGCTCGATGCTTGGTGAAGTGTATCATGTTTCCGTTTTGGGCTCAGGACGATCCATCCACCTGCAATGCATCCACCCAGCAGTTAGGTTAGATTAGGTTAGGTTAGGTAGGGTGGATGCATCCTAGGTGGGTGCAATGTCACGCACCCGTTTATTTTTTACCCGCGTCACAACAAGGGTCCCTATATTCTACGAGCGGGTACTCCAGACGCGGAATTTGGAGGTATAGAGCGTGGTGCGCGGTTTGAATTACCGTGTATTTAAATGGGGGAGTACGACTTTTTCAAATCAGGTTTTTTGGCTGTTAACGAATTACAAATTAGATGAAAAATTTTCTCAATCTTCTAGATAGGTTGTTTAAGATTTTAAGATATTTTTAAAGTCTCAACCCTCCTACCCCATGGCTTCATGTGGAAAATCATGCTAAAAGTAGACCCTTCCGCTCATGCGATCTTCTAGTAAGGCGTGCAATTTAAACTAGCGGACAGGCAGCAGTTGAGCCGCAGGAAATATTATGAAGCCTCGATTAAATTTGCACGGAATTTGTTTTTTTATTTATTTTATTGTTCATCAAAGTGTTATATTATATTTTAGTGACTGTTTAGAAGTATTTAGCGTAGGTGCAGCAGTAACAAAGACTTGAATTTTATTCACAACTTTCTGAAAAATAAAAAAAAAACTTCTAGCAGTAGGAACTGTTACTGTAATTTAAAATCTTGCCCTAAATAAAATTAAAGTGATTGTTACTGGATCTGTAAGAAGACACCTTATCTTCTGAAGAAAAATTCCCTAAATTTTTGCATAGGTCTTAAAGAAAGTATGGAAAATTTGTTGGAGGTTTGATGGAAAAATATCAAAAATTGAAGTAGACATTCATTCAACAGTTGCCTCTAGCAGTTCTTCTGAACACTTAGCCCCGTTGTAGAGGCCACTTGTGAATTTGTATGAGATGAGCTCTGACCATTCGCAGGAGGTTGCAAAAACATCTGCAATGCTGTTGTAGCTCGTTGAGACTTGGATGAGGAGACAACATCTGCATTGAAGAGTGGCGTTCTTTGCACATTGGAGTCTTCTTTGCTGGTGCCAGAGTTGACCTGTGAAATTTCAGGAGGCTAAGCATCTCCTCCCCGAGGAGTCCTGGGGCGAAGCTTGGCACGAGGGCTTCTTGAAATAAGACGTGGTGCAAGTGGTGTGGTGAAACATTTCCCTTTTTTCCTCCGAACCTTCGCAGGTGATCTGAGGATATCAAGGTATGTTTTGTCATCAGTCATGGCATAGCTGGAGCGTTTGATGTCTTGAGAAAACTGAGAGAAGCACAAGAGTCTTACACTTCTCAACCCTTGAAGAGGGTACGGCCTCCTATTTCCTTTATGCCGAATCTGTGAAAACATATTTTTAACTACATCTTGAGTTGTTCTCGCACCCATGAAAAACCGGAAATTGTAGGAAAGCAGCAGTTTCTTAGCAAGAGCAAGAATACTCTTGTTTGCCATGAGAATCCCTCGTTGGCTCGTTGGCAAGGTTTCCATCTATTATCAGCAGCTCTGACATTCGAAATTATTTATGAAAAGTTATTGATGAACTGCTGTTTTCGCCAAAAGTTCTTCTTAGTATCTTCTGTAGTATGCTTAATACTACAACCAGTGACCGTTAAGTACCATTCATTGACTTGTTTCATAAACCAGATGGTAGGTTCCGCATCAGTCGACATTTTACCTTTGGCTACGGCAGCCTCCATCGCACCTGTTATTTTCTCCAAAAAAATGGCCATGGCTAGATTTACCCGCATTTTTGTGTAGTGATCAGGAGCAAGGAGCTCTTTGGTTAAAAATGGGACGGGCTCAAAAACAGAACTTTCCTTTTTTTGAAGATGTAATAGTTCTCATATCCACTTGCTTGAAATCAGGGCGTTTCTGAGGTTGTGGTTTTTCCGGAGGTCCTCTGAAGTAGTCAAATCATAGTTCAAAAAGCCTGACCGCAGGTGCCGAGTGTCAGGAAAGAAATAAAATTTTTCACCAGGTCTTCAAGGATGGTCTATAAAGTGTGTTCCAGAATTTGATGTTTCTTCAGCTGAACTTCTTGAGGCTTCAGAAATACCGGCTCCAGCAGCGGTCCAGACGGCTGCATTAGAGAATTTGTTAGGAATATGCCAGGGTTTCGAACCATGTTAGGAATAAGACACGAGTTTTGGTGCCATGTTAGGAATAAGAGTTGAAACACGGATGAAGGCACCTTGTTAGGAATATGAGTTAGACAACACGGATTTTCGTCCTTGTGTCAGGAATAAGAGTTAGTTCTCGACACAATGGATGAGAATTGACAGAAAACTTAATCATATTCTCCTCAGTAATGATTCAAATAAAGTTCATAAAAACTTTGACCGTTTCCTCCATAAAGAGAGAGTGTCGTTGAGGTAGAGTTGAATACGATTGTTGGCAGCACTGAAGATGGGCGAGTCTCGAGGTTCAGGGGTCCAGGTCTAAGGTGAATGAGCATGGTGTAAGTTCAGGTCCAGGATGAGAAAGCAGTCAAATTCCAGAAAGAAATGCAGTCATCTCTTTTTTTCACTTCGTCATTAAGACGCATGGAGAAAAAGGGTAAAACCCCGCAAAACAGCTCATCTGAATAAAATTCAGGCACTTCGAAAAACAAGCGGCGAACGGCGGGCGGATGAGAGAAAAATAAAGGCAGGCTCGTCACTTGTGAAAATTGAATAAAAAAAAAAAAAAATCTGATCAAGAGTTGAATACTCTGAATTGTAGTGCAGGCAGGAGAGAAAGGCGGTTCGTCACATGCATAATTTTAATAAATAAATTATGCCAGGGTTTCGCACCATGTTAGGAATGAGAGTTATTAGTTCTCGACACGATGGATGAGAATTGATGGAAAACGTAATTTCATCCTCCTTAGTGATGATTCAAATAAAGTTCATAAAAACTTTAACCGCTTTGGCGCCAGTTAATCTTAAAACGCAGGATTAATAAACTGCAAGGATTTGAAGGAGAATTGAAGAGACGAAATTTAGAGACAACGTTTATCACTATATTGATCTGGATTTTATAAGAAAGTTGCACCAAAAGAAAGAATACTAGAATAAATAGAAAAATTGATGAATTTGGAAGAGTTCATGTTGAACTTCGGATGAAGTTGCAAGTGAAATCACACACTATAAATGAAATAGGCTAGAAGGGCTTAATAGAGCCTAACATGTGTACACATTAGGGTGGCTCTTATTTTGGACTTTGAGGAAATTTAATGAATGAAACCCAGCAAGTGGTTCCTTTTTGCATGAAAACAACGGGAGAAACTCAAAAAAAGTTTTAAATTAATTTTATCTTGTGCCGCTTTTGCCCCAAAGTTGCACCCTGCAAGTATACAAATCGCGTTTTCCCTCTGTTTGGCGCGTATCTTCAAGTTTGACGCACTTGACTCAGACTCATGAAAATGTGTATACATGGACACTTCCTACCATATTATCATAGAACACATACAGATTTCGTTTGCGATATTGTAAAATGTGTACTTTTGGACCTTCATTAAGGGAAAAATCACGATTTTTGAGATTTTCGCCTTAAGAATTCATTTTTTATCTATTAGTGGTGTAATTTTGGGAGATCATTTTCTACTTAAAACCGTGAAATTGCGTCATAATGGACCTTTTTTGAGTTATCAGAAGAGAGTTGAAAAGATTTTACCTGCAAGTTAATCCTCATTTTGACACTTGAAATTGGCAGAAGACGTTTATTTGAGTTATGAAAAAGATGAATAAATAAAGAGATATGTAAAGTGTAGGTAAAAAAGGATGAAGAAGATCAAATAATGGTATCTAATTCATTGTATTAAATAGCTACTATTTAACAAAATACCATGGAAATGTAGGTTCTTGCTTACATCACATAAATAATCACAATGAAGGCTGATTAAGTGTTGATTTTTTTACATCCGGAAATTGCTTTCTATAGTTAGCTACTACTTGAACAAAAAATTGCCGTTCCTCTTCAAATTTAGGATAATGTAGGATTTCCATTCTAGCTCTTTAGGGATCATCCTGAAATTAGAGGGTAGGTAAATTCATGCTGAAGAGGAGCAGTCAAATGGTGCTCCGGTGTTCAGCCTGCCTCCTACATTTAAATTACCTATGAAAGCAATTATAAGAATGGAAATAACGTTCCTCTTCTGAATCCCTCCAAACTCATGGGCGTCACACACAGGTAGACAGAAGCATATCACGTATAAGTCTGGCCACTAGGATATTATGAGACCATTTGGCAGTCATAGAAATTTCGTTCCTCCTCTTGGTATACACCGTTCAAATTTCATGCTGAGGTGAGGGCAAATACACTTGTGCGTTACAGCTCTGAGACACACTTTAGGGCAGACAGGTTTTAATGATACTGCACAGTGAGAAGCTTGATCACTAACACTTGCCTACCCAGCCAAAACCTTGAAGGTTTGAAAGAAATACCAGGTTTTGAGAATCGCTCTTGTTTAAATAGGCTTGTTTGTATTCATAGCCCCCCCCCCCCCCCCCCCC